AAAGCCATTTGCGAGCTATATTGGCAAGCTCGATCCACTGTTCTCCACGACCCCAGTACTGGACAGCCCTTTAAGGGGTGGCCATCAAAGGAGTATAAGAAGCCAAAAGGGCAAGGGTGCGGGGGGAAAGTGAAAGCTTGGTCAACATGGAAAGCCCTTCCTGAATATATTGCCTGGCAGCATACGAAGAGCCCCACCGGCCCCGCAATAGGGACCTTTCCATCAGGCCGTGCTGCCGGAAGTCCTCCGTAGCTCCCCCTCGTCTGAGGGAGTAGGGCCTGAACGAAGAGGGCAAACGGAAAAACTGTTGAAGCCGTTTAAAAGCCGTACGAAACTCCGCGGACGAATTGGGCCAAATTTTCTCATTCCGGGAGGAGACGATGTCGGAAACCGTGCGGGCAATCAAAATAGTCGGGCCATGGGTGGTCACTACGTTTTCGTCAACCTGTCGTCTCACTCCAGTCTTGGTCTCTCCAAGACGGACCACCATGTTGGTACGGGAGATCAGAAGGTGACGAAACCGAACGGCAAAGATTTCGCCAGTCCGTAACATCCCCCAGAACCCTAGGCAAAGGCACAGGGCCAGCCTGAGGTCTTCAACCATGACGCACCTCCCAACGAGGCCTTCAACGACCTCAATCGGAAAGGGCGGTGCTTGTCGTGGTCGTTCGAGTTTCCTCCATAGGCCGTAGATCCTCCAAGCACCTCTGAGACGACCTTTGGACCACGGTAAATAGTGGTGCAGGCCCGACAGAGTGTCAGCCACGCTGGTGATGCTGGCCCCTGCAAGGTAGCGTTCATCAACCCACTGCATCATAAATTCATCAATGTCGAGCCGGGTGTGCTCTAGCCTCTCAACTACTTGGCTGACTGCCACGAAATAACGGATGCGGGTCTTAATGGTGACGGCACGGTCTAACAGACTCAGCCGGCCGCGCAGCCGCCGTCGTTCAGCCGCCAGCCGTTCAGGCCCGGCTCGCCTCGTCCGTCGGGTTGTCCGACGAGTCGACATGGACGAGATTTAATATGCAATGGGCTGCTAACAGTAAAGCATTGATTTTGTTGACGATAAAGTGGAGCTTCCTGCTAGCCGTCCTACCCTTCGATAGAATTGAAATACTGACATAAGAGTCGGAGAGGTGAAAAATTCTACGATTGCAAACAGACCGCTGCAAAGTCTTCCAAAGCAAAGAAAGGTATATTGCCCTAATCTCCAATGCATTGATCTGTTCGGCTTGAGCCCAGCGCGTTCGGAACACTTGCTCCCATTCCCACCAGAGTGCTTGAGCGGACTGTCTAGGGAAGGCTTTCGGGTTCAAGATCTGCCCGGAGGTAATCCGACTGTCGCTTCCTGTGTGACGAACACGAGCGAGGAGGTGTTGGTTCATTTGCTGAACGTCGGCTGAACCCAGAAGCGTAGGGATCTCAAACCCCGTCTGCAGCGGGCAGATCAAGTCGCTTCGCAACCCCAGACCAGGTGGGAGGCCCATGCGCTGAAACAACAGTTGAGGGTCTAGCCAGCCAACAAACTTAGCCACTCCTGCGGCAGCCACCAGACAAAAGGACCAGATTGAAAATGAATCCCCAACCAGGCTGCACCTTTCATCTTCATAAGCCTGCTCGCGGCCTTTGATGTCAGAGGCAGACATGCATAGTTTTGTGTGCCCCGGGCCATAGCCCATCAAAATCTCCCTCTCGTCAGAGTTGAGGAGACGACCAGTGCCATCCTGGAGCGAAAACAATAGGTACTTGTATTTGTATTGATATGGCGGGAAGCGAAAGGCGTCATCTTCCCACCTAGCACGGGTAGCCCGGTCAGTCCGTTCTAACCCGGCGGGCCGAACCGGTGGCCTGCCTCTGGGAATCGCTTTCATAAACGTGGGATAAATGACCGAATCGTCGGCTTGCTCCCATCCTTCTGTCATCCACTGTGTCGAACGAGGCCATGTCCCGTCCACTTGCACAAGCGTATAGCCCTCATGAGAAGTCAGGACGAGTCCCGGCGCCCGCTCCAGTGAAATCGACGTCCAACAAAAACGGGGTCGGCTATTAGGTACCTGACAGCTTGGGTCGAGTTTGTAAGGGAGAACTCCTACCAGCGCGCTAATTTGATCTCGGGCCTCCGGGTCCATGCTCGAGACATTCTCATAGAAATATTCAAAGCGCGCCTCTGGGAACAGTTCCACGCACTCCCTAAACACTCTAAGAGCCTCGAAAATAAGCCCGCTGGCCTCCCCTTGCAGATTCCTCCGATTTGCCCTCACACTACTTAGGTCAACACAAGGGAAACCAGCCCAACCGTGAAGCTCTTCAAAGTCACCGACCCCCGCCAACAGCTCAGCGAGAACACTCTTAGACAGCGTCTTGACATCTTCCCAGAAGATCATGTTGGGCCACCTCCGCGCACAAACACGGTTGCTAGGCTTGTGAATGTCACACGCAATGTAGGCCTTTACCTCAACGCCACAGATGTCATAGCACCGCGCCGCTCCACCGATTCCGTTAAAAAGGGAGATTACAACCACAGGCACAGCTAGTGGGGCATTGTGGCGCGTTTGGGACTCCACAAATGACTTGCCTGCGGAGCTCAAGGTCCTAGAAACAGCCACTGCCCCTCCCCGCATGCTTGCGTCACTGCATGTAATTGATTCATCGACCCTAGCTCCCAGCCAGGTGTGAAACAGCGGGATGCCCATGACAGCCAGAATCAATTCTAACTTGACTTCCCGGCCAGCACCAGCGTACACGGACTTCCCCGATATCCACGACCAAACTTTGTCAAAATGAGACATAGCGGGTCGTCGAAACTGAAGGGCAAAGCACCAGCGCCCCATCACAATCTGAAGTTTCTTTCTCGACACATGTGATTGCCCTGCCAGCCACAACGAACCTTTAGCAATCTTGAGCATACGATCTGGTCCAGCTCCAATCCACTGGCCTTTTCCCCCAATGAATGCGCCTAGCTCAACACCTGAACTCGCCGCCGACACGCTCTTTCCCTTAGAAATGACTATGCCCGCTTTGTCCCATTCTTCCTCGGCTGCATGCTGCAGGTCCACCAACGCATCAGCTTCAGTTCCTTTTACTTTAGCCCCCCCGGCGAAATTATCCAAATACACATGCCACCACGGGCGGCCTTGATTCGCCTCGCCAGGGTCACAGTTGACTAGCCAAGGCGGCAGAGGGCTCGTTTTAGACAACTGCCCCCCAGCGTCTAGTCCTCCTCGTAGTAAAATAGTCTCCGCTGCCTCTTGCATCACTCCCACGGCTGAGGACCAGCCCATTGGAAGGACCTGACACGACAAGAACCATCTCTTACTTCTGTGCTCGCTGTCCAAGAAACCCAGTTCTGAACCTGAGAAGCCCACATTGAAGGTCAACAGCCTGGACCACTGCGAGGGGAGCTTGAAAAGATAGAAAGCACATGCCATGTCACTCTGCGAAATGCGGACCTCTTCATCGTCACCTACCACGACACTCAGCCACTGCGTGATGCTGGGGAGGCGGGCCACTCGCCCTTCTATCACTTTGAGGACAGCATTAATAGGAGTGAGATTCATTATCAACCGCAAGACGCTCCTTCCGTCCGGCAGGAGCTTGCTCTTCGGAACTCCAAATAGGCCACTTAGCACTTCTTGTCCTCGATAACGCAGCACCTCCGAGTCCTCCGTCCAGGTACAAATGCCACGCCTAACCAACTCTCTTGCTACTGGCAGCTGTTCACTCTGAGGAATGTGGACCTTTCCCTGCAGCCTCGGCAACTCCTGCCCCACATCCGGGCAGATGCAGGCTTGAGGGTTTTCCAACAACCAACGAGTGCGCACGCCAACCCAATCAACTACCTTTATGGCTCCTCCATGTCCTTCAGGGGGGAGCGCTGGCAAGATTCTTTCCAACGACAAGGCTTCCGCCTTACACACTTCCTCTCCCGTATAGGAGAGGGTCCTCTTCGAAAAATCATCAACCACTTGGTCCAATCCCCAATCAAGCTCAACATCTTCACATAGCAATCTCTTTACACTAGCGCGCAACGAATTCAGCAAGTCTCTTTGTGGGGCAGACGGAGGAAGAGAGCCAACACAGTCCTTACAACCAGACAACCTATTAACAAACACACGCACCAACTCGCACCAGCAGGACTCCGCAGCTTTCTCAATCAGCACCGAGTCCTTCAAAACAGAGCCCAGTCCTAATTCAAAAGGAAACAGATTCAACTCCTCACGACACTCGGACGGCAGAGGAAACAGATTTCGACGTGAGCGGAAAGCTCGTGGTGCTGGACGCTCTTTTTCAGAAGCTATCAAGCTCCGAAGATCTTCCAGCAGACGGTCCTTCTCTGCCATCTGAGGGTGAAAAACACAAAAGTACAGCCCTACTCCCAGCACGGACAGAGATCCAGCCGAGTTGAGCAGAGCTCTCCACCAACGCTCGTCCAAAGCTAGGCCGAATCGTTCTTCCCCTTGGGAGCATCGGCCTTTTCCTTGTCCTCCTGCTGGTGTGCCTTCTTCCAGTTCCCGGGCCAGTTCTGCTTCTTCCAGCTCCCGCGCCCGTCCTGTTGCCACTTGCCCCACTGGTCGTCCTTCTGGTGCTTCCCGCCTTTGCCTTTTCCTCCTTTCGCCTGCCAGGCATCGGCGGGTTGCCAGCCTCCGGCGTTTTGGCCTTTGCGGCCCTTTCCCCAAGACTTGGTCTTCTTCTCGTCTGTGGCGGCCACCTTGTCCATCAGCTTCGAATACTTTCTGGCAGCCAGCGTGATGGCCGGTCCCGCCGCTGTCAAGTGCTCCGGTGAGTACAGCTCCAAATGCTTGGCTGCCGACCAGCCTTGGTCCAACTGTGCTTGCTCCAGAGCAAACCACCGAGCCGCCAGCGCATCCCCGAGGCGGCCAAGGCGGCCTACTCGGAGAAGGTCGATGCAGTTTGCTATGAGGAACAATTCGCGGCCGTCTCGAGTCTGTTGACTCACTCCCCCTCCTTGGGTGAGTGAGTGCCAGTGGGTCACTATCTTCGTCCCCTGCATCAGGGCATTGCTGTGTTCTCCGGAGCCTGACAACTCGTTGAGGCGCATCTCCACCTGTTCCACGAGGAGCTCGAGCACTGATCCTTCTTGGCGATCGCTTTTCTTTTTGAGAGGTGGGAGCAAGGAGGCCTCGTCGGAGCTTTCCTTCCCTCCTGAACTGTCGCTCGAACCCCCGTCCTCTGAGGAGTCGCCTGACCCCCCAGAACTTCCACCTCCAGATCCGCCGTCCGGGTCCTCGGATCCGCCCTTCTTTTTCTTCTTCTTCTTCTTTTTCTTCTTGCCTCCGAAGATCGTGCGAAGGGCATCGAAAGCTTTCTCTTTCTTCTTCTTTTTCTTTTTCCCGGACTTGCTCCTCTTGCACGCCTCTGCTGCTCTCAGGACCAGGCTCGAAGTGACTCCAGCCGTCCGAGGCTTGTCCGTCAAGCTCTTCATAGTACCTCCTCTTCGCTCCGCCTGACCATTGCCCGGCCTCTGAACTCCTCTTCCAGCAACAATCGAGGTCTCGCCAAGCTTCCTCGACGTCGTCAAGCGTTCCACTGCATGGGCGGCACTTCCAGCCTCCCCTTTCTCCAAGTCTTCTCCATCTCTCTCTGGGGTCGCTCCACGACCCATAGTCTCTTGACGGGCACGGATCTTTTCCAGCCTGTCTCGCAAAATGCCAGGGGCCGTAGGCGGAAAATCTCCTCCATCTCCGTCCTGCTTCTTCTTCGGCTTCGGGCGAACCGGGGGACGACCTCCCTTTCCTGTGCCTGTATCTCTCTTCCGCTTCTTCTCCGGCTCTGCAATCAACCCCTTCTTTGACGAATCTCCAAGGTCGACTGCTGGGCCTTCTTCCCATTCCGCTCCATCTGCAACCTCTGCGCCCGCCAGGACTTGCTTGAGCATCCGGCGGCCTCCAACCGACAGGCGGTGGCCTGGGAACGTAGGTCCATCCCACAGCTCCAGGCTTCTTACGTGGAAAACCGCCCCTTCGGCTGAGCACGGCCCCTCTCCAAGGCAAATGTGGAGAGCGCCAGCTCGCCGGTTGAAACTCGAGGATAGAGCTGGTAGAGCATCGTCTCGACTTGCTCCAACAGCCCTTACATATACCAGCATCGAACCATCTGCTTGCAGTTCTCTGTCGGTTACCACAAAAACTCCTTCTATACCATCTTGACCGAACCACTCTCCTGGCAGCTCGGTCGTCAAAACGTTTCCTGCGCGAGGGGCAAACAAGTTCCAGCGCTCGAAATTTGAAACCTCGTAGCGCCCGAAGAAGTCGTCCCCTCCTCGTGCTACATGCAACAAAGCCTCCGTCGGGTCCGTCATTGTCGAGGTCGAGGAGGAAGTCCTGCCACCGTCTCCCTGGGGGCAGTGGGGTCAAAGTCGAAGTACGACCTGTCGAGACTCCTATGGATCTTGATGAACGGGTTGTGATCGGCCCGCTCCAATCGCTTGTGCTTGCGTCCTGCTCTGTGCGGCTTCTTCCTTCTCGGCTTGTCCCTCCGTTTCGAATGGTGATGGGACCTGTGCGACCGATTCGAATCCCTCTTCGAACGTCGATGACCGGTCGAAGACCTAGGCTGTGGGGGGTCCTCAGGGGACTCAGGCTCGACCTTGTCAGCCTCTCGTCCGTCGTCTCGCGCCTCTTCAACCTCCTCCTTGGCCACCTCGTCAACCTCCTTCGACGGCCTGGCCTCAGGGCGCGCCTTTGCAGCCAGCCCTGTAGTGGTCACCGGTGTCACTCCCGGCCCAATAGTGGTCACCTCCGACCCGGATCCGGATTCCTCCGATTCTCCTGAGGTCTCTTCTTCCGCCTCAGGCGGCTCGAGAGCCGAAGCAGCAGCGCCGCTCCGCTCACCCTCACGGGCCTCAGCGGCCGGCCGAGGAGACCTCGCCAAGGGCCTCCGGGGGTCCGATGGCTCGGATCCAGCTCCGGCCACCGGCGGCGGTGTCACCACACCGCGCGGCGCGGGGTCGCGAGGTGCCCCAGCCGCGGGCGGGACCACCCGCGTCACACGAAGGGCCCGCACCTGCCTGACCGCCGACACGCAGATGTCGGTCGCGACGGCGCGGAGCCCGGGGTGTCCCCAGTGGAACCCCAGCTCCGCGCCGAGCGCTTCACAGGCGGTGCAGGCCAAGCACCACGAGTCACCTCCAGCAGGAGGTGCTCGGCGGCACTTGGCGCAGCAGGCCATGCGCCGCGTGATCAGCTTTTTGAGCCGATGGCCGCAATCGTACCCTCATGCAAACCATCTCACTCTAAAGAGAAGATGTCATATGTATATATATATATATATCAATTGGATTAGGACTAACAAAGACCTGCCAAACCATTTCTTTGTTCGAAGCATTGAAGGACGATTCTACCCGGTGTTCCGCCATTTTTCAAGTCCATGAGTTCAAGGAAACTCGGAAACGCTGCAAACTGTTCTCCAACCAACCTACCTACCTACCTACCTACCCACCTACCAACCAACGCACCAACGAACCAACGCTGCTGCGTGCGTTTCCCAACCAACTCCAGGTCCTTCACGCTGCAAGCTGTTCTCAGTATCGATGCCGATGAAGACCGCCTTAACGAACGCCCCACGCGACCGACGGGACGACGTAACCACCTCCATCCCCTGGCGACCGCACCCGGGTGGCATAAGGAACGTCGGGAACCGAAAAGGCCAGACGTCGACTGTGCTTGGTCCACTATGCTCCCTGTAAAACGATGCCAGTCGGTGTGCTATGTCCAATGATGTCAAATGTCTGAGTGCATATCCTTTGGCTGTCCAAGGATGTCAAATGTCTGGGTCCAGTCCATTTGGTCGAATGATGTCCAATGCACCGTTCATCCTTTTCCGTTGACCCTGAAAGGGATCGGTTTTTGACAGCCATGCACCAGTCATGTCAGGCCCTTGACGGCCTCCCTCTCCCCCTCGCAACTCTCGGCGTTGGTCCGAGGGAAGACCGGCAGGTCGTAAAAACCCCAAGAACTGACTGGTGCTTTTGGTCTGGTAAGGAATGAGGGTGGCTGGCTCCTTTTCGGGTCCCGAAAATGTCAGGTATCTACAGGTGCCCCCAATTCCCTCGTGGTCTCTTCCCCACATTTTCCGGGGGCCCGACCTTCCCCCAACTGTTCACCTCCCCATGTTCGGTGAACTCGCTGCGAATGACATGAGGAGCGTCTAGTCAGAGTGTTTGCTTTTCGGTGAACTCGCTGATGCTGGAGGGAAAACGGTCGACCTTCCTTTCGTGGTTTGGTCGTCCCTTGGTGGGGCCGAAGCGCCGAAGGGCCGATGGGTTGGAGACCTCCCGTGGTCAACTGCTACCCTTTTCGGGTCTCTGCTTCAGAGGGAAGAACTGCATACCCCCCGGGCGACGGAAGTCACTGTCGCTCCCTCCCGCTTCCATCAGCTTCACTCCCCATTCTTTTCGGCTCGTGTTACACATGACTCACATGACGGACTGTTGCACTCCCATCTGGAGCTCCAGCAAAATCACATGCTCGGACCGTAAAACCGAACTGCGAACTGCTCAACTCCATCGTTTGGAGTTCATGCAACTTGCTTTTACACAAAGCCATAGGTGCGAGCCTCCCCACCCATGGCTTAAACCTGTATCTTCCAATGAAAGGGCCCCAATCTCTCTGCAAACAGGCCACCTTAACTCTGTCGAATTGTTTTTAATGACAAAAAAATCAGGCAACTGCCTCAAAAGACCAGGCAAAATCCTGATGACCTGCTGCTGACCTGCGCAGCCCCTTTCCCTCCCGTTGCTACAGGCATACCTCCTGCAATCCTTCCTTCCCAGACACATTGAGCGCCACGATGATCGTCATGGTGGACTCGAAGAGCGGATGCTGAATCATGCCGGCGACTCGATCCATCTGCCGCGCCTGGAGTGACTACCGGAGCGCAAGGCGTGCACGTACGAGGAGCTTGGGACAGTGTTCAGTGGACCAAAGTGGACCCAAGGTATATAGGCCGGCCCTATGAAAGAACTGGCAGGTCTCACAGAGAGAGACAGAGAGAGAGAGAGTGTGTGTGTGTGTGAGAGAGAGAGAGACCATAAACATATAGATCGAATATGATCGTAGGATCAAATGTGATTGATGTCTACGGGTTCGCCGCTGATCTACATGAGTCTTGGGGGATTTCCTCTACATCATCACTGCATGGCATTCTTGGGCGTTTCGAAAGAACCACTCAGCTCTCGAAGTGGATTGGAGTCAAAGATCTGTCTGCCCCAAATCAGGGAAATGGACCAACATGAACTCACGCATGCGCGTGTGCCGATGACTTTTGTGACCAAGATGCAATGGACGAGGACCCACTCTTCTCCTGCACCTGACAAACTGCTCGGATGAACCAGAGGCACCCGGGAAGGGTTTGTACTAAGAAGTCTAGTTTCTGATCAATTTACTCTCTTCAATTCCCAAACAGCCAGGAAAATCTGTTGTCCCAAATGGCAGCTAATACAAATACAAGAAATACTTCCCGAATGGCAGCTAATTATACAACTTCCTTGTTTGGGAACAATAGTGTCTATATGTATATACATGGTTGTCCTACTCTATCAGTTGTCTGACCGGGCTTTCATGAATCCCACTACCAAACGCCTCATTATGGCTGACTTACGGATGCAAAGCCATAGGTGTCCATGACCCGATGAATGTTCTCCGTCTCTCCCACTATGAAACTGTTGTGTCTCATCGAAAGAAAATGTCCTGGTAGACTGAACACCCTATTTCGTAGGGATGTTGAACCTTCACTTTGAGACACACCTTCCGTGCATCCTTGTGCCACTCATTTTAACCACAACCTCCAGCCACTCCCGCCCAGCCGTAAACCGCAGTTTCTGCGGCTCCCGCCTCCACACGCCGCTCGCTGTAGCGTTTCCGTTGGAGCGACCCGGTCGCAGTCATGGCTTCTTGCTTCAGCTGAAACTCCTGGCGGGTGGTGCGTTCCCGTTGATTTTCGACAGCCGGGAATTTGGGACAGTGCTCGAACAAGGAGAGAAGAACACGACCCACATCGGGAGCCGCCTCGTATCAAGTCGTCACGACGGTCACGACTGTTCGGTCACAACTGTTCGGTCACGAACGCCAGTTCAAGGTCACTTTTCTAAAGGTCCTGGAGGGTGTTCAGACGAACACAATGAACCATGACCAACCTGCAGACCTGGACTCCGCGATCTTGGGCCAGATATCCGCCGACCCCAGCCGATGGTGGGGGAGCGCGCCAAAGAAGTTCAGTTGTCATCGCACAACGTGGAGAACCATTTTTTGGCGGATGTCGATCGTTCCATACTTTCTTTGCCGGAGACAGGTCTCAGGCGAGAGGACCTTGAAGATAGAGATTTTTTACTGGTGTCAGAAAGCGACATTTGGTAGTGAGAGAGCGGCTGCCGGGATCATCTTCCACGTGGAAATAGATTGGTTAACGGCGTGGCGAAGCCGGCCGCTCAGAAGTTGGCAGAGTGGCACGCAAAAAGGAGCAGGGCGGTTTCCGCGGCCATTTTCCATGGAAATAGATCAATTAATAGCATGGCGGTAGACTTACATACATAGGTAGATAGGCTAGACTTGTTACCGGCGCCAGGAAGCAACGTTCGGCAGGGAGAGGGCGGCTTCCCGGACAAGGCTGTTGACGTGGACCTGAGGCAGGTTTCAGATAGATAGATTAATTAGATTAGATGAGCAGATAGATTAGGATAGGTGAAATAGACAAGGCAAGACAAACCAAGACAAGACAAGACAGGCAAGACAAGGCAAGATGATAGAGAGAGAGAGAGAAAAAGAATAGGTAGATAGATGGATGGATGGATGGATAGATAGTCAGATAGATAGATAGATGGATAGAGAGATAGATATAGATATAGATATAGATATAGATATAGATATAGATTTAGATATAGATATAGATATAGATAGACAGATAGGTAGGTAGGTAGGTAAATAGGTAGATAGATAGAAATACATAAACAGAGATAAATAGATCAATAAATAGATGAATAGGTAGAAAGATAGTAGATAGACTGACGACTACTACCACTACTCCTCCTCGACTCCTACTGCTACTCCAACTCCTACTCCTACTGCTGCTACTGCGACTGCCACTACCGCTACCTCTACCGCTACTGCTGCGACTACGACTACGACTACGACTACGACTGCGACTACGACTACGACTCCGACTCCGACTGCTGCTGCTGCTGCTGCTCCTACTACTACTACTACTACTACTACTACTACTACTACTACTACTACTACCTACTACCTACTACTTACTACCTACTACCTACTACCTACTACGTACTACCTACTACCTACTACCTACTACCTACTACCTACTACTACTACTACCATCATTGCTACTACGACCAACACCACCACCACCACCACTACCAGTACGACTACGACACTACCACCACCACTACTACTACTACTACTACTACTCCTACTCCTACTCCTACTCCTACTCCTACTACTACTACTACTACTACTACTACTACTACTACTACGACTACGACTACGACTACGACTACGACTGCGACTACGACTACGACTACAACTACAACTACGACGGCGACGGCGACGGCGACGGCGATGGCGACGGCGACGGCGACGGGGCCGGGCTATCAAAAAGAAAATTTAAATATATCAAAAAAAAATAACTATATCCTGTCAAAAAGAAAATTATTTTGTATCAAAAACAAAATATCTCTCACAAAGAGCTGTGCCTGCCACTGCAAACTGCCTTGGCAGCGCTGCGCGATGTGAATCTGGATGTGCAGATTTCGTGGTGCGCGCAGCACTTTGAGCATCTCCACTGGCAGATTTCGTGGCAGGAGCAGCACTTTGTGCACTGGAACTGCAGATTTCGCGGCCTGCGCAGCACTTTGATCACCTCTAGTAGCAGATTTCGTGGCAGGAGCGGCACTTTGTGCACTGGAACTGCAGATTTCGCGGCCTGCGCAGCACTTTGATCACCTCTAGTAGCAGATTTCGTGGCAGGAGCGGCACTTTGTGCACTGGAACTGCAGATTTCGTGGCAGGCGCAGCACTTTGAGCACCTCCAGTAGCAGGTTTCGTGGCAGGAGCGCCACTTTGCGCATTGGAAGTGCAGATTTCGTGGCAGGCACAGCACTTTGAGCACCTCCATGTAGCAGGTTTCGTGGCAGGAGCGGCACTTTGTACGCAGCACTTTGAGCACCTTCAGTTGCAGGGCTCGTGGCAGGCGCAGCACTTTGAGCACTTCGTGAACCTCGAAGTGCAGATTGTGTGAACCTCCGTCTATAAGCGCAGACTTCGTGGCAAGCGCAGCGATTGCGAACCTTGTAGTGCAGTTTGCGTGGCGTTTGTAAAATTCTGTGGATCTCAAGACCTGTGAAAAGAGTTCTTGATATCTCTGGATCTGAACATCTTTCTACACCCTCGGCAAGTATAGAACTTAGATTTCAACACCTTCCTGGATCTCAAGACTCAAGACCTCTAAACCTCCATCTTTAGGTCTGTGGGTTTCTAGACCTCTACACCTGCAGATCCGTCTGGATCTCCAGGCCTCTGGATCTTTGTAGATGTAGACCTCTCTGCATCTCAACCGTGATCTGTCTGAATTTCACGATGGCTCACAAAACCACAAGACCTGTAGATGGCTCACAAAAGGTCTGCTATGTTGGAATGGCACCTTCCTCCTCTAAAGTTTATGCTGACAACAGGTCTGCTCCTGTAAATTTTGCCCTCGCATGGCTCACAAAAGGTCTACTGCTCCTCTAAATTTTGCTCACAAAAGGTCTGCTACCTTTTTCGTGGCACCTAAAGTTTAACCCCGGGTGGCTCACAAAGGTCTGCTACGTTGGAATAGCAAGTTCTACCCTCGGGTTGCTCACAAAACAAAGGCCTGCTACGTTGGAATGGCAACTTCTTCCTCTAAGTTTTAACCTCGCAAGGCTAACAAAAGGTCTGCAACGTTGGAATGGCTCCTTCCTCTTCAAAATTTTGCCCTCAGGTGGCTCACAAAAGGTTTGCTACCTTGGAATGGCACTTTCTTCGTCCACATTTTACCGTCAGGGTGGCTCACAAAAAAGGTGTGCTACGTCTGGCGATAAAAGGTCTGCTACGATGCTTCACAGGATGTATGACCAGATTTCCAAATCACCTTTAACGCGTCTTGCCTCGAAAGTACAGACCCAAGGACCCGAAGACCAGGACGAAGGACCAAAGGACCAGAGGACCAAGGGACCAGAGGACCAAGGGACCAGAGGACCAAGGGACCAGAGGACCAAGGGACCAGAGGGACCAAGCGACCAGGGGACCAAGGGACCAGGACAAAGGGACCAAAGGACCAAGCGACCAGGGAACCAGCAGACCAGGACCAAAGGAGTAGGGGGAATTTTATTTTTGATACGAATTAATGTTTTTTTGATAAGAATCAATTTTCTGTTTGATAGGAATTAATTTTCTTTTTGATAGGTATCCCCGGCGACGGCGACGGCGACGACGACGACTACGACCACCACCACCACCACCACCACCCTACCTACCTACCTACCTACCAACCTACCAACCTACCAACCTACCAACCTACCTACCTACCTACTACAACCTCTGCTTTCCGTCCGGTGTCCTCCGTTGGCCTGGTCCGCTGTTGGGCGTCCTATATCACATCAGAATCACACTGTCCATCCAAAATGTCCGGTTTGTAGTTTGTACAGTGTAGTGCCGTGTCGTTCTCTTCTCGATGATTTCCGTTCTTTTCACGGGGGTTTTATGCGCAATTTCTCATGTTTCTGGCATTGATTCTGTGCTCTCATATTCTGTCCCAATCTGGAAGCGAAGGTTGGTGAATGCATGTTCTATTATCTCTCTTAATTATGTAATTATATACCGCCTCCTTTGAAGACTCAGCCGGTTCTCTTGGTCACTTTTTCCGATCAACCCGGGTGCCCAGGGCATTCAGATGACGAGCGCCCGCGAAAGAAGACGGAGAGCCGTGCGGGCCGCACACGGCCCGTGCGGGTGCGCCTCAAGGGTGTAGCTGGCGGGAAGCTGCGACTCCTTGCTATCCTTGGAGGTACAACGCTGCCAGGTCTGCTCATGACCTGCGCAAGCAGGTCTGCGCACCCGAGACGGGACAAGGGGAGAAGCCAAATGCCCCAAAACTCGACATGGCGCAGACCTGAAAACCTTGTTTGGATAGAAAGCTTACAAAGGAAACTTCTGACCCTCTGCACTTGGGTTGACAGCCTCAGCTTGAAGCCACAAATCTCGAATCTCGATCAAAGCCATGCCTCCCAACAACCAACTCAGCCTCCCCGTAGACCCATCTCATCTCCCAAGTCACCCAGTCGGTCCACTCCAAGTGTTGGACTGGGAATCCCAGTTTGAGTTCGACCGCGGACCAACATGTCGAACGAAGGGCCGAAGGGCCTGGAGGAAGTTCGTTGACATCAAAGGACTTCAGCTCCAGCAGCGAGGGCAGCTCGGCCTGGCGAGTGCCGTCAGTCAGCTGGGCCAGCTGGGACCAAGAACACCTCCAAATCGAAACAGCCCAAGACATCTCAAAACCATCAAAGTGTGATCCTCAAAAATTCCTGCATGTCTCCTGGTGGTTCCACGGGAAGATACGGGACCCCCCCCAGTCCCGAACGCGAACGCTCCGTCCTCCACCTCTTCCTGTGCTTCCGAGAGCGCGTCGATCATCCACCGGATGGTGCGCTCCTGGCACCAGACGGAGAACACGGCACCGAAAGAGAACACGGAGAAGCAGCTCAGAAGATCGAGGTTTCTCTTTTTTTCCGGCAGAGAGTCCTGAGGCATCCGGGGCTACTGACCAAGAGCTGAAGAAGTGCAAAAAAGGTGCACAGAGAGTCATGTGTTTGGCTCCGTCACGTAAACCGCCAGAAGGGTGGAAACTCCGCTGTGAGACTACTTGCAATTTGCAAATATGCACACAGAAAATCCGTTGTTGAACTGGTTGTCGAACGTCGCTCTTCAAGGCCAGTCGTGCTCGTCGGGTTCAGTCAGATCTTCTCGCTCTCTTGGCCCGAAACCACCGTGCACCCTGCGCTCGGGGCTCGAGGCCGCGAGGCTCTCCTGGCTCTCCAACTTCTCCGTCACGGCTTCCTGTCTGCTGATCAAAGAGGACAGCGCCGTCTGTGAGTCTCCCTGACAAGCGAGGTCCAGACTCGGGGCTCATGGATTCGGCGAGGCTGGTCGTGAGAGAAAGCAAGGCACTTGATATTCAGCATGATCAACCTGAAGGTTCCAAGTAGTTGTTTTTCTCGATTGAACAACCATTCCAAGCACGTGGTGTTTTGGTATGTCTTGGCCAGCAAAAGTTGGTTCGATTCTTCTTTTGAAGACAAACCTTAGAAACAAATCCATAGTCAACTGTGCCTGAATCAACAGCATGTGGTTAAGATATGTTAAGATCAAGAAGCCAGTCGAAACTGGGGTAGTTGTCACTGATGCTCTGCTACCCCCTCCTGAGAGCTGAAGAAATCGATTGCGAAAACCGAAAACCATCGTTTAATTTGATTCAGATCTGAAGTAAATGTTGTTTCTTTCACATCCGGATCCTCACGTTGTTTGTGGTACACCGGGTGTACGACCTCCGTTTCAGCTCGAATTCGACGCCGCACGGCTGCAGCCCAACACCGCTTGCCTTTGCAGCCACTCCCCTTGGGCTTCCAGGGGCGCTCTTGTTGGTTCCACCTCAATGTGTCAAGAGAGCCAAAAATAGATCCAGATTCAAGAAGAACCTTAAGGTCGTCAGTGAAGTGATCTCCCACTTCACCAGTTGGGAGAGATCCTGTGGGGTCTAAACGATCTAGATCGTTGATAGACATCGCCTGGAGCAGGCCGGATGGAAGGAAAACATCTTGACCCCCCTGAAAAGGGCCACCAACACATGGCATCCAAACCAAAAAGCGCTTCCTCACGGTTCACCTTCTCCCGCTTGGCTCCGACCCTTCGGACCCCAAAGCCGCTTCTGCACCTCCGCCAGCCCGAACTCGGGGTTGGCTTGGCGAACACCAAAGGTCACCCTCCGGTTGGGCCGTTGTTTTTTTCACCTGGGACTTGTTCGACCTAGAAGACCTGCATTTAAAAGAACGTCGGTATGGACAGACTACGAAACAGAACTGTTTCTGGGGAGGTCGTGAGGAGCACACTGCGTGAACAGGACTCGACCGTCAGGAGAACGGAATGGGGATTTGGAGTGGTCGAGTCTGTCTCAAGCCGATCAATTCGACAGCTCTGAGACAGGACCAATTCAGGCGGCAAAGGCATACTGGCTAGTCTCCCTGAAATTCAATATCATGGAAGTGGAAAACCCATGAAAATCCTCCGTTTGTTAAAAGGGTCATCCAAGCCGGCCATGCCATCTACATGATAACATGATCCTTTCAGGGAGTGGAACCAGGCCGTCCCGGGCCGTCCCAGGCCTTCCGGCCGTCCCGTCTCAGTCGCCCCACTCGAACGTTCCAACTTGGCAAAGGCCTGATTCAGCGTCGCCTGGCAAGCGCGCTGAAGCCCGGGCGGGGTGCTGTTTCAGTGGGCCCCCCATCTTGGAGTGTTTCGTCCATGTGCCGAAAGAACAGGAGTGCGCCATTGGGGGTGGTAGGCAGCCGACCGCCTGCCAAGCAAGCTGATGCTCTGCGCAAAGTCTCAGCAACCTTGGCAAAAGAACAGACTGGCAAAGGCGAGTCATTCAAAAACAGCTTCTTGAACCAATCTGAATGGAGGAGAGCAGGGTGTGGAAGATCTCCGGAACTAATATCCACAAAGGCTCGCGCCAAACAGTTTCACGTGCATCCGCGTGCGGTTGGCCCCTTGCGGCTGCAAGGCGTGCTGGCATGCAGCCCGACAAGTGTTTTCCAACAGCGAGGGACCATACTGGACCGACCAACCTGCATCGGTCGGCCTGCCGAAGACGGGCGATCTTGAGAGATGTGTGGTCATTTGGTGTCGAAACGACGGTCTCGGTCTCTGTAGACGAATTTATCCTGCTATGAGAGTTGACAGTGTAAATGTTACATGGAGGGTTGACAAGGGCACTCACAAACATATCCAACACCCTGATCTGCGAGATCTGCCTGATTTGCCTGCAGCTTTGACAGGATGAAGCATGTGCGTGAACCTCAATACCACTTCTTCCAAAATGTGGGAAGCTCTGCCGTTGTTGGCTCGTAGCTGGGTTTCTGGTGAAACTCGTGAACATCGTTCCACCCGCGGTCTCTGGGTCTGTGCATGTCCAGCAGCTGCTGCTTCTGCTGGGAGAGGCTCACATGGAACTCCTGGGAGAGGCTCGTGCGGCCTTCATGGAGGTAGTGATCTTTCTTTCAGAAAAAGAGATGATGTGGTCCATTTCTTCTACAGGGTTGGAACATGTTGGAACTGGATGACACTTTCAGTATGAAACGGTTCATGTTCAGCCGCTCAACGCCGAACTTATGTGTTCAAAAATGAGAAAAATAAATTGGGGTGAAGACTTTTGATCCACCATCCGCTCCTTCGCCGCGACTTGAAACATATCAGTGAGCCGACACCGTCCGATGAACAACTCTTGATCGGTGACGCTGCTATCGCTGGGTCTCCGGACTCAGACGTCGGTGTTGAGACCAACGCCCGGGATCGACCGAGCCTGGCCCCTAAAACGCCCGACCGACTCCCGAACTTGTACCACACATGCCATCCCTCAGGCCATCCCTCATGCCCCAACGCATGCGTGTCTCACACCAGGTCAGAGTCGGTTACACGCCGGTTGTACACGACCAGGGTGTACCCCGTCTATGAAACAACCAGGCCAAGGGTGTTGTTGAGGTCAACGATGGTTCCCGTGTCCTCTTCACCCAGCTGAACAGCCGCAGTCATGGCGGTTCACACGCACGTGGGCGGGTTTGCAGAGATGGGACGTAGGCTGGCAGGTCTGTGTGGTTTGTGTGTGTTTGGGGCTTTGCGGTTTTGCTTCTCGGGTGCTCACCGGTCAAGTCTTTTTTGGTTGCCAGCGGTGTTGCTTCGAGTGGAGGGCAAAGAGAACCAGATCTGTCAGATCTTGAAAACCCGAAACAAGGCTTCAGCCTGGGGCGTCGCGAGAGATGATCGGGCGATTGGGGCCCAGCTGCACAGGGTTTGTGCAACAGGAATCAGCAGGAGCTAAAAAGCGGCAATAAGCGGGTGTCCGTTGCATAGGATTGTCTGACTTGATCTGACTTGCAGCTTTTTTTGTTATCTTCAAATGCAGCTTGAGCAGTGAGAGCAGGCCAAAAAAAGTAGGCTTCGCAATCAAATGGTACTTTCACGAGCACATCTCCAAGATTTCACCGACATCATGCCACGTAGAACCGTATAGTCTCGGAAAATAGTCTCCGTGTCCATCCGGTGAGCACATCCGAAACATGGCTCCCGCCATCTTTGGAACCTGAAAGAGTCAAATCTTTAGTCTTTCAAATCATTCTCAAAAGAAAAGGCAAGTTAAAAAACGACCAATTCTGTGCAGCAAGAACTTGGTCACCTTGAACTCCAATGACTTGACTCCTCTGGGTGTCAACCTGCTCCTCTTTGAAGACCTCCCGTTCAGCCAGTCCGTCAGCTATGTCACCTCATCCCGACACCGTCACCTCTTCCCTTCCCGGCTTCTGCGCCGCTCACGTGGGGCGTCGCGTTCTTCGAACTCGGCCTTGACCTGGGCGCTCCGCTCCTCGATGCGCATCTTGTAGCGCTTCTCCTCGCCCGGATCGACCCAGATCGACCCAGATCGACCCAGGATCGACCCGGGGCGCTTTGGGTTCGGAAGGATGACCTTGTGAAGGTCACCCATTCTGGACAATGAGAGTCTCGCCTTGGTCACAAGGTCACGCTGAAAAAAAGATGTGCTCAACTGAGCAGGCTTCGGTCGACATGTCAGGACAGCAACACTACTTGCTTCTTTACCGCATGCGAAAGGGCTTTTGTTCCCACAATGTCCAATGAACCACAGAGTGCCATAAGTACCTCGAGCTCATCCTTGAGGCGTCAACCACATCAACCACAACGAACTTTCAGAAAAAACGGGATGTAGCAACCAATGCTCGACCGCGTTCCGACGCGCCCGAAACCCACCGGACGCGCTCGACCGTCCCTTCCAAGGCGAGTCATCCGTTGACCGGTCTGAGACCGGCGTGTAGACGGATCGTTGCACGAAGCGAAAATGGTGGAAGCCCTCCGAAGCTGGGATGAAGTCCAAAGACTGTATTTTGCACAGCCCATGTGCCAGGTAATTCCTTTTCGGGTCACCTAAAGAATCTAAAGACCTCTTGGACTCCCAGGGGTGGCGGCTTCGGCGCCTTGGCCAAGAGTTTCTGCTCCTTCTGACAAAGCTCCTGACGCCAAGAAAAGCTCCGCACGAAACCGCTCGCTCGGAAGTGGATGGCAAGCTGGGACCGGAGGACCCAGCCTTTCAGACCCATCTTTTTGTGGTGCAAACAAACAAATTGCCTTAAAAGTCCGCAGACTATATTTTGAGCGACTCAAGTAAAGTAAATTCCTTTTCGGGTCACCTAAATAAAGACCCCTTTTTTTGTAGCTTCTTGACTCTCAGGGTCCAGGTTTAAGAACTGCATAAGAAGTTGATGTCCCTCAAGAACCTTCTTCGATCTTGGGGAAATCTCGGATGTTTGGCATTGGAATCTAGTCGCTGGCAATCCCAGATCTCGCCAGTCTCATCACGGCTTTTGTTGGAATAACACAAGCAAATGCCGATGATGCTCAAATCTGGTGCTTCTTTGCTGCATGTCAGACATGTGGAATGACAGGAGAGTTCCTGGATGCTTGTACTACGTCTCTCTTTCAGAACAATTGATAAGGTCCAAACTATCAGCGGAAAGGCTACCTCCAGCAGATCGAGATTCTCCTTGACACACATTTCTCACTGACCACCTTTCAGAATGACGGGCGCAACGCGCGCAACGTGCCCGACTTGCAACGACCCAAACAAAAGCTCCTCTGAGCACCTCCCCTCACCGACAGAGGTCCTGGTAAGGTGCTCGAACCTTCTCCACCTCCGCTTCCAACTTGGCCAGCATGCCATCCTCATCTGCTTCCAATGCGCAGGTTGAAGCCTTATAGATCCTTATAGAACTTGATCGGACTGTGAACAGTACCCGTTTGATGAAGATCCACGGAGAAAGGAACGATTTGGTGCAACCAAAGAAGATCTGTGCTTGTTGAGGCTTTTGAATTGGTGTGAATCAATGTGTCGTATGTCATTTGTACGTTCAATTATACAAAAGGGAGTCATCCTTCCTCCAAACTGCTCGAGAGAGAGAGAGAGGGATGTCTTCTGCCCCTTCTGGATGCCCCCTGACCGATCTACAAGAGTGCTTACTCACAAAGACATGAGATGCCTCGAGTCGCCTCGAGACCCAGTCGCCGCTACGCCGGCCCGAACTCCGCCAGATCCAAACAAATCCTCTGCTATAGTGATATAAACCATGTGAAACACGCAAATCTCTATAGAAGCATAGGGAGTCAGTCATAGTCATAGTGCTCTCTGCTCTCTCAGGCATGAGGTCGTTTTCTCCACCAGTTCTGGGAGGGTTCGAGAACCTCCACAAAGCCGAGGCACCACGTCCTGTTCCGCGCGGGAGAACGCACCGCCCGAGACGGCGGGGGGAACCCCACACGGGATGTCTTGGGGAGCCCCACAGGTCTTGCAATCATGTGGAGTCTTGGTTCATAAAAGCACCCCCTCCATTGGGATTAAAAAACATCTTCATGGGAGATTCTATACAGTAAAAGAAATATTGCTGGCTGAATGCCCTAAAAGCTTCAGTCGTCGCAGGCTTCTTCTTGCACAGTGGGATCGCTCTGGTTTTCAGCGTCTAATTGAACTCTCCCCTTAAGAGTTGGAGTCTAATCAAACTGCAAAAGAGTCAATTCTTTTTTCACGAAATGGAAGTGAGAGGAACCAACCTTGTGGTTTTGGCTGGGTGCTTGATGTTTGCAGTCCCCAACGAAGCTGCAAGAATTCTGTGTACAGTAGATGCCGCAAAAACGGGTCCAATCAGAAGAGAAAAGGCCTCAGTAGGTAAATGTTGAGGTTAATTGGCACTCCGCCCTCCCAGTAGACCTACACTCTGACGAACACATCACGTGGAAGTGGAAAATGGACCCATGGATGATTTGGCAAACTATGTTCTTTTGGGAAAAGGTTGTTTTCCACTTCCATGTCATGTGTTCGGTGGAGTCTATGCTTTGTTTTGATCTTCCACGCTTTCGGTCGGGTGTGAACGACTGATGCAATGGTGTGAACAGCTGCTGGGATCTCACCAACTGGTGAGAACATCACCGGCGGTTTTCATCATGCTATGAAACGTTGTAGAAGGGTGTAGAAGAGGCTGTGTGACTTCCTTTTCGGCTGGAGATCTTTGGATCTTTACCATGGCAAGTTCCTGTTCCATGCTCCATCGGACTTCTAAGGCTTTGGAGAAGTGTCTTTCTTCCGTCGGTCCCTGACGTCCCTCCCACTTCGGCCGTCCGGTGGCACTGGAGCTTTGCGCTCGACCGCCTGGGACATCAGGCACCAGGAATTGAATGTAGACTCTTGATGAATAAAACACAATAAATCCACCCCATTTGGATAAAAAACAAAACCTCTTCGTAGGAGGACTTTATCAAGAATCTACGTTACATTAAGGTCTGTTGGCTGTGGGAAATCCTCGAAAGAAAGACAATCAACGGCCTGAGGGAGGTCAAGCCGATCAAGCGGTCTCGATCAAGCAGGCTCGATTTCGGCGATTCCTACGCATCCCGGAGGCTCTTCAGGCGGGTGCGGTAGGACTCGAAAGTTCGTCAGTTCGTTGACTAACACCGCAAGAAGATGTGTTTTTACGTATATGCGAGGTCACCAAAAGAAAGAACAACGGGAAGCCATGGCATCACATGTTGTGACATGTTTTGACACCCAGCAGCAGCAGCCGCGGCGGCAGCGGCAGCGGCAGCGGCAGCGGCAGCGGCAGCGGCAGCGGCAGC